AGCAAGAAGACTTATCAACCTATTAGAAGCTGTCTGAGATTTAGAAGATCTAGCTAGGGTGTACCTTTAAATTTTTGTTGAACCCTTTGTAATAAAATTGTTGCCTCAATCAAGGCTATTTACAATAATAGACACCTTTTTTAGATTAATGCCTCAGATTTTTCATGCATTTTGCATTTTTTTACACTTTGCATTAATGTACATTCATTGTTAAAGATAAAATCAACTAATAAATAATGTTTTGTTGAAAAAGAAACAAGTATTGAACCCATCTTGAACGCATATTACTTGACTCAAATCGAAGCAAATGGAAGCTAAACTAGAGGAGATCAAGGAAAATTTTGCCAAAAGGATCTGGAAAATAGAGCGAGCTAGAACCACAAGGACATCATCACGAAAAAACAAAGTAGCCTGGTTGATCAGATTGTGGCTAGGCTGGAATGCTTGAACTTTGTAAACGTCCCTATAGAAGAGGGATCGAAAGAATTGTGGAGTCACTACTACCATCAAAGTTGGTAATCACACCTGAAAACTTTCAAAGGTACTTGAGAGACTCTTCTACCATGAAAGCATAGGCTTCAACAACAAACCTGAAAGACCATCGCATTCCAGGCTTTAACGAAGAGGAGAAGTCTCAAAAAATGGAGGAAACAACATAGTTGGAAGACCGAATGAAAACTATCAAATGTGATAAGGACTCCTATAGAGTTAATGCCGCAATCGAGGAATGGGACATCTTGGGACAAGACAAGAGGAGATCATAACCATTACAATAGAGTTTTGTTGCTTAGGAAATTACGTATTGTTTGAATTTATCTTTTATATGCCTAAACTTTTTTAAAAAAAAGACATTTCTTTAAGTAACAGAGCATTGTTTGAAATTCAGTGAATATCAAGTATAATGAAATGCCCATTTTGAGAGATGAGGTTATAGCCTTTTGACATATGCCGAGATCAAATTTCTTTAAAAAAATAAAATCCATATTTTTTACCTGAAAAAAGAAAAAATGTTTTCTCTCACGTACAAGTATGGAAGTTGACAAGATGGGGCATCTTTGATGCATGACATTGTAAGACCAGTTAGTTTACATGTCTATTAAGGACATTCTGAGATGATATACAATTTTCACAAATGGAATGGTGGAATATACAAATTTGTCTTAGATCAATTGCTTGGGAATTGAGCTCTAAAGATGAAATTTTTGATTTTCACTGACGCTTACACTATAACAGATTCTTCCTGACAAACTTAGAAAATCTTGAAATCGAAGAATTAATGTGATATTAATGAATGATAATTTTAACAATGTTGGGGGCACTCCGCTGAAAGTAGTAGGTTGTTAATCTTCGGAGGTAATGTCTGAAGCAGCTATGGAGGTAATGTCGTGCTTTATGAAGTGAGTTTCATTCGAGTTTGTCAAGTCGAAGATTTTCTGACACTTGAATCCTTTGATTAAGGGTATTCCGCTAAAGTAATGGGCCATGTTAATTGACCTAACTTTATGAATACGAGTACATTTAGATCATGACACTAGTCTCTATGTGTCGAGATGAATCTTCCAACAAAATCTAAAGTGAGGACATTAAGTTTAGCAAAGTACAATTTAAAGAAAGAAGGTAAGGCCTGAGATAAACGTGGATTTGAAATTAAATTTTGATGAAATGTTGACTAAAGTAGTCAAGAAACATATGTTATAGTTAACTACACAAAAACAGTCAGGGGTTTTGTTTTTAGATCGATATTTCTGTGCTATCTCTGTTTAAGAAGTCTACAAAACTAGAATAAATGGAAAATTCATGAGAACTAAAATAGAAATGCTCTCTATAGGGCCTTGCAGTGGAGTGCATCAGTTGCGCTACTTGGTTCACGTCCTATTTGAAAATCATGAGAATCAAAACCAAATCGCATTGCCTTTCCATATCACTTATGGATCTTGACACTTTTCAAAGGGCTATAATTTTTTAAAACAAAATATATGATTCGTTTATTTGATATACAGTTGACGATACTTTGCTTCAATTGATCTGACATCATTTTTATACCAAACCTTTAAAAAAAAGGAGATGTACTAAGAAAATACATATTTTCTCAAAAAAATCGATTAAAGAACCTAAAACGATGTGGAGCATCTCCATAATTCTAATATCTTTTCCTTTCACCACATGTGCGTTCTGATGTGGTTCCTATCAAAAGAGAGCCTGATGATGCGAAGAAGAATGTAGCATTACAACCCATGGCCAGACATGGTACTGGATCAAAAGAACAAAAGATAATTATTCTAACTAATTATTTTAAAGTGAAAGTGGGCAATACAGATGGTTAATTCATCCAACATAGTGTCTCTCTTTACTATGAAGATGGTCATCAAGTAAGGTGCAAGAGACCTACAACAACGAGTTGGCTAGAAAGAGTTTTGCCCGTGATGACGAGAAGTTTGGTCGCTATCAAACCCCTTCCGAATAACAAGAATGAGTTCATTGTTGTACTTGAGGATGCCATATCGAAGAAAAACAATGGGAATGCAAGCTCTAATGGTAATGACAACCCAAATAGGAGTGGTAGGAAGAGAGAGATGCTCAAAGACATTTAGGGTAAGATAAGCTTTGCTGCCAAGATTCCCATGCAAGAAATTCAAAGTACTCTACTAGTACAAGAATCTGAGAACTCACAAGAAGCACTGAAGGTGGTTGATATAATTTTATGGTAGCATGCCTTCTTGTTCGCCAGTTTTTTTCATGACAATCAAAATAATTTTACAGACATTAGAGGAGGTATTCTTGGTTGTAGAGGTTTTCACTCGAAGAGACCTTTCATTGAATATTGATGCATCAACTACAATGATGATCAATCAAAACAAAAGAGAGCCTTACCCCCTCAACTAAACCAAGGCAAAAAAAGAGCATGAAAGGAGTACAAGATCACTGGATTGAGTGAGCAAGTGTACAAAGATCAGATAATCACCATGAAGCCGTCAGCGCTGTGGAAAGATCGACTCCAGGGATGAAATTAATAGACAAAGAATAAGATTATGTCCAAGAAATAAAACAAGAACTAATTTATTTTACATATATCTTAGACATACTTAAGAGCATCAAATTTATCATTTTCTGCATACATAATTTTTGCAGCTTTAGAGTTAAGTTTCAACTTCACAACAAATGATATTCGATTCAAAAGCGTCTTAAAAAATCGATGGCATTTTAACTTAACTCAATAATTAGGAGCTACATCTCAATCAACTCAACCTATAGAAAGATCTACAGGCCTTGGAATCAACTTCAAGTCCACGACGGAGGATGTTAGGTTCAAGAGTGAATTCAGAAGCCAATACGATCTAGCTTAACTCAACTACGAGGAGCTAGTTTCCAATTAAAGTTTTCAAGATAGATTTTAACCCCACGATGGAGGATATCCGACTGACAAAATATCTCACATGAATTTCTCACGAAGAGGAGTCATTCGAAGAACATCTCACATGGTTTTCCCGTGAAGGAGAGTCATCAAATGAGCATCTCACATTATTTAGACCCATGAAGGAGAACCATCTAGAGAATCAAGATTGACTTTCTAGTGAAGGAGAGTCCTCCAAAGAATCAAGTCGACTTAAACCGTGAGGGGGTCATCTCTTTTGGCTTTCCCGTGAAGGTAAGTCATCTAAAATCGACTACATTTTGGCTTAACTCATTGGTATTGAGCCATCTTCTAGTCATATCTTCTAAAATCAGATTTTAACTCTGCGACGGAGGATATCGACTTCAAGAATAGTAATCTACAACTTTGACTCACGATTTCAACTTCATAATGAAGGATATCATACCAAGGACACTTGAGATCAACTCAACTTCATGACGAATGAGTCATCTGTAACCTAGCTCAACTCAACAACGAGGAGCTATTTTTCAACCAAAGTCTTCAAGTCAAATTTCAACTTCACGACGAAGGATATTGGACTAGAATAAGACCCAAAATCAATTATGATTTAGCTTAACTCAACAACAATGAGATACTTTCTATTTCAAATTTCGAGCTTGATTTCAACTTCATGACAAAGGATATCATGCTCAAATCACCCAAGATCAACTCAACTTCACAACCAAAGAGTCGGCCACGATTTTAAATTCATGATGAAAGATATCTTGCTTAGGGAGCTATTTTCAAACCAAGGTCTTCAAGTCAAATTTCAAATTCATGACAAAGGATATTGGACTACAAGAAGACCCAAAATCAATTGTGATTTAGCTTAACTCAACAACAAGTAGTTACTTTCCAATCAATTTTCAAGCTAGATTTCAACTTCACGATGAAGGATATCATGCTCAAGTCATCCAAGATCGACTCAACTTCACAACGAATGAGTCATCCATGATTTCAACTTCACAATGAAGGATACTATGCTCAAGTTATCCAAGATCGACTCAACTTCACGATGAATGAGTCATCCATGATTTTAACTTCACGACGAAGGATATCATGCTCAATTTATCCAAGATCGACTCAACTTCCCGACGAATGAGTCATCCATGATTTCAACTTCACGACGAAGGATATCATGCTTAAGTCATCAAAGATCGACTCAACTTCACGACTAGGAGTCAACCACAACTCAACAACGAGGAGTTATTTTTCATCCAAGATTTCGAGTCAAATTTCAACTTAATGACGAAGGATATCAAGTTCGAGTCGTATGAGATTGACTCAACTTCACGATGAAGGAGTCATCCATAACATAATTTAACAACGATGAGCTATTTTCATCCAACTTAACCTGTAGAGGGTTTTTAGATTTTCTTGAGTCAAAATTTAACTTCAAGACGAAGGATATTGGACTCAAAGAGCATATTTATAGACACACTAACCAATGATTATGTTAACTTTTGCATATTCAATTACTCTGGGACCAAGACAAACTAGATGAATATTTTCAAACACATCTACTTGAAAATGTAGAAGATGAAGACAAGCCCTCATAATGAACTCCAAAAGGCCCAATTATATTGAAGATGCAGAAAAGTGGAAGAGCATATCAACCGAAGGATAAAGAAAACGATAATACCATGGAACAAACTTATATCAACGAACCAAAATCGGTCATATTTTATCTTTGTTATATTCACATTACATTCCAACAAGCAAAGAGGGGCAGCTATAATACCCAATTTTTGTCCGAACTATTTTTTTTCAAAGCCGAAACATATTTATTAAAGCTGATTTTGAAGTTCAATAAATCAACCAAATTGGAACGATTTTTTGGACAATTTGCAAACATTTTTAAGGCATGGTATCTCTTGAAACTGAACCGTATTTCATTTATCTTTCCAACGCATTTTTAAACACATCAATTAGACATGAGAAACTCAAGATATGCTTATTTTAGCGAAGACATCGTGTGTAGAAAATTGGACACATGCCTAATAAGTGGATTTTAATTTATTACGAATTTTCAATTATTTTATTGAATATTTGTAATTAAATTCAACTTTCTACTTTCCATAGTTTATTTAAGGTAATTTAGGATCTTTTTATTATTTTAGAATTACTTTTCTTTTAATTATCATATCTAGCATTAATGAAAATATGTTAGCCTTGTTTACTTTAGGGTTTTTTGGGAGCCTATAAATAGGCCCTCTTATTTTGTAATTAGGGGGGAGAAAAGGAAAAGAGGAGGAATGAGAGAAAATAATCATTCATTGTAATTTGAAGAGCAAGAGCAATAAAAGTGAGTTTTTTTTAATTGTTGTTTTTTTAATATTATTGTCTTTATTGTTTCGATCGACTTCGTTCTTTTTTCCTTAAAAGAACTATTTCGGATGAGAGAAAACCGATGAACTAGGAAAAAACTCCTAAATATATTTTCCTAAATCTAACATTCCTTGAGGTTTATAAGTGAAAACATATGCTTTTCTTTTTTATGTATATACTTTTATTATTTTTTGTATTTATTGCTTCGACATTGATTTTGTATGAAAATTCCATCGAATGAGAGAACCAATGAATAAGGATAATGCTTTTAATTAGATTTTCATAAATCAAGCATTCCTTGAGGTTTCTCAATGAAATTGGTGGTGGATTTTGAATGAAAAGTTTATTATTTATTTATCTTGATTTAATTTCAATTTTTTTTATTTAAATGGCCCAATGACCCAATTTAAATCCCTATTAGATCCATATATTTTATGCGGGTAGGAGATAATTATAACTGTTATTCTTATTATTTATTTTTAAAATTTATTTTATTCCCCATCATGTATTTTCATTCTCAATTTATTAGTTTTTTCAATTTCATATTTAATTTTTCTTTTAAATTTGATTCTCATTAATTGCACTTTAATATTATTATTTTTATGACAAGTTATTTTCTCATTAAATTTAATTCAACACTTTCATTTAATTTGATTTTTTTATCATAGATTTTCTTAGATTTTCTTTCCTTTTCACTTTTAATTCACTTAATGCAACTACTTAACCTTTTCTTTTGACTTTTCTATTTACTTTTGAATTCTTTGATATTCTTTCTTTTTATTTAATATAATAAGAATTCTTTTTTTATTTTAGATTTATTTTATTTTATTCATTTACTTTTCAAATCATTGTTTTTATTTTTATTGTTTATATTTATTGTATGTGCCTTTTAAGTTTTGTACATTAATACTAATTCCATTTATTTTTTATGTATGTTTCGTGACCCTTTTATTCATGTTTGCATATTGAACCCAATTTTTTTCTTAAACCCTAATTTTATTTGTTTCATGGTACCAAATCTCAAAGGTAAATAATTTGGATCGTTTCTTTAAAATTTGTCCTAACTTCAATTTCCACTATTTAGACAACTTGTAACCGTGATGGTACCGAAAGGGCAATGTAGGGGTGATCATCCTTCCCCACATGTAATCGACTCCTGAACACTTCTAAGTGAATCTTAGTAAGATGTGGATCTAGTTAAAGGTAAAATTTAGGTATCCAACCTTACCTAATCTAAAAAGGTTAGTGGTGACTCCAAAAAGGTAAAATTCACTTTAAGACAAAATGTGATCCCGGGACCACCCGAAGGACCGTTGCGACACCCATCCATAATTTACTTGATTTATATGTGAGACTAGGAGATTATTCAGTAGTTTAGAGGGAATTTTACCAATACTATGTGATTATCGAGTTCCTCAGCTAACTAGTATCTAATGGCTATGTGAGACCATATAATAGCAGTGTGTCATGTGTTGCATTTAGAGAAAGCACAATAGTTACAATCATTGTGCTAAGATACCCAATAGAGATGTACTCATGGCGATGCCCTTAGTAGAGGACTAAGGGAAGCATGAGACTCTTACTTTGGTGACAGAATAGATGAACCTTAAGTAAATATTACTTTAAATTATCATGCATCTATCTACTACTTAGTACCATGTCTTTAGCATGCTTGTGTTTATGTGACTCATAATGATGCTCTAGATAAACAATTATACTATTGGGTTTTGTAAGCTCATTGTTAAGATATTTTTAGTTCGTAAGTTATTAGCTTGAGTTGTACATAGAGCACCGTTACAACAGGACTTCTAACATCTCGTCTAAAGTACTATGTTATAGCTTTAGTGGGCATATGTATTCATAGGACCCTTATTACTGTATTCAAATTTATAACTCTGAGTTTGTATTATTTTGTTTTTAAACTATGTGTCACGAAGCTCCGATTTATAAAATTATTTTTATAACTATCATGTATGTCTATTTTGGTACCATATAATATATTTTGAAATGAAAATGAATAATTTTAAAAATTAAGGGGTGTTTCGACAGCCCAACGTGGTACTTTAATCCTAATCGAGTTTAGGGTGTTACATTTAGTGGTATCAGAGCATCAGGTTGAGTCGGTCGTAGGACCAATGATAAATTATAATAAGGTGTTAGTAAATACATGCCCCTAAGTAATTAAAATACTCGTATAAGTCTAAAATCTTGATGGTGCTTCCTTTATTTGTCTGTGTTGTAGAAATTGACGATGATAGATAGTTCCTAGCGTAGCCTCGAAGATAGGATGGAGAGTCGTGCCTCTCATTTTGATAACATTAATGACGGGTTATTGCCTAGGACAGAGGATTTTAAGGTCTCGTTGGGCGTGAGAGTCATAGAAACGATATTCTTTAGAGTTTTGGCTTTCACTCATAGAGAGATCATAGACGTTATTCATAGAGCACATACTATTAGTTGATCACTCGGAGTACTTTAGCATAAATAGTTAACTTCTATAGTTTAGGCAATGATTTTCCGATTTTGGTTGATCAATTTTTTAGAGAGACCATAAGGACTTTGAGGCAGCCTCACCTTACCCTAAGGAGTAAGTTAGAATGCATCACGCTTTGCTCAAGGGTGATGTTATCGACCGATGGGAGACTATAGAGGTGACTAAACAGCTAGATGCCTACATAGGATTAGTTACTAAGTGATTTTAGAGACAAGTATATTGGTAAGGCACACATGGATGGTTAATAATGCAATTCTCCCAGCTGGTTCAAGAAGATAATTCAGTGTACGAGTATGGGGGATATTTTCTTCAGTTTAGTCGTTATGCTCCAAAACTGGACGCGATTGAGTCCTTGAGGTGTAAGAAATTCCTCAAGGGACTTTATATTGGTATCTATGTGCAATTGTTGGCAGACCCACCTAGGGTATTTTTAGAGTTGACACGGCATGCTAAGACTATGGAGAAGGTTTAAAGCATGAAAAGGAGTTTGTTGGGTGAGTTAGGTACCCCAAGTATGATAATTTGTGTACCAATAAACCTATCACAATTGATGACAGAAAGAGCCTGAGATATGTATGACTAGAGGAGAGTAGTTTGTCACTCTAGTAGTGTTAGGGGTCAAAAGTAGGGTATCATAGGAGATCGTCAGCTCTACCATTTTTTATAAGCTCTAAAGGATCTAATGGAGTATTGAAATATATAGTGCAAGCTTATGGTAAAAATAACTGAGGAATATGCTTTAAACTCTCTAGGAAGTGCTATAGATGTAGATCATTGGCATATAGTGAGGGATTACCCTAATGCGGATGGCAATCTATTAACTCGACATAGAGGAGTGATCTCAATAGCTCAACATAGTAGAGAGCCTACCAAGAGAGATGTTAGTTCTATGCTTGAGAAAGAGAGTAGAGGAACAAATCGACCTGTTCTCGATTTGATTATACACGATCTAACTTATCATATCATAGCGAGATAGGTACAGGACATTGATGTCGTAGACGAGATGTCATATATGTTTTCAACTATCTTAGTTTTTCATGTTGATGCAATAGACATAAGTACGTGTATTCTTTTATGGTTTTAAGTGAACTATGTAGAAAAAGTATTTGTGTAGAGGATCACAATAAGAGGGTCCAAGTGCCTAATTGGTGGGCCTTAGTGGAATAGACAATGTTTACATTAGATGTTCATCGAGAACTTGAGTTAGACTTAGTAGGCGACCTAAGGGAAGTTGTTAGCACAAGTGTTACTTTAATCTTGGAGTTACAATTTTAGAGATATAGAATCCTCCACTCTTGTGTGTTCTCTCGGGGAGTATCCTTTTGGGTTATCAAGTTAGATATGAGACTATAAAGATGTTTGCGTATCATCAGTTGAGGGCTCATGTGACTGACCGTACAGAGATTTAGTAATCTCAAGTTCAGACTCTAAAGTATAGATTTCTAGAAGAGTGTTTAGAATACCCAAGTTACTCTAGCTAGTGTGACAATCATCTTGGTTTCCAGAAATATCAAGATATATCTCAGTTAGTATCAAGGTACTTCAGTCGTTAACTAGGAACAAATGCCCCTAGTACATGTGAGGAGTAAATTAGCAAGGTGTATGATTCCAATGTTGTGGTTTCGGATCTTAATGTAAATACTATGGATACTTCAGGTAAGATAGAGGGCATAAGTCTCGAGGTACTGAGAACCCTCCGACTACATCATAATGCCTTATTGTGGGAATGATAAACGATTCTAAGTACAAGATGCAGAGTCATATAATCCTTAAGTACGAGTACGGTTGTGAGAGATCTCCACTCTGTGACGCGTGCTCTTATGGAGAGCTAGACGTTGTTAGTTTTACTCAACAAGTAACCAATTTTTAATTGTGATTATTTTAAATGCACGATCCAGTGAGTAGTACACTTTTAAATTACAAGAAAAAAAAGAAACAATCAAGTAGCATGGATGAATATTGAATCAGAGTTACGCAGTGAAAATATTTTAGACTGATATGTAGAAAGTCATGAATCCTCATCATATCTTTAATAGTCACCATTGAGACCGTGTATGACAAGTGTTCATAGGATCTTGACATGTAGTATGATAAGTTAATTATAGTGTAGCACAATATGTTCACTCAATTGAGTAGAGTTCGCTAGTGAAGGGTTTAACAGTTATAGACGAGTCGTACATAAGTATTTTTCCTTATTAAGCATTTCGAGCATTTGATGTTAGACAGAAAGAAGGAGATTATTTCGCTATGGGCCTCTCAAATTTTTTTACTTAAGATTCGACACAGGTAGTGTCATTTAAAAAATCGTGGATCGATTTTGTGAGTTTCGAGTTGCATGTCTTGCTGCGAGGACTTTTTCCTTGATGTTCAAACTTGATAAGAGTTTAGGTGCATCGAGGCTTCTAAGTGTTTAACCTAAGGATAGTTTGTTATTCAAAACTTGATAAGAGTTTAGGTGTATCGATGCTTTTAAGTGTTTGACCTAAGGATAGTTCATTATTCGATCCAAGTAAATTTTGAGGAAGAAATTTCTATCAAGAGGGAGAGTTGTATCACCCTAAATTATGGGTTAGTAGTTTTGGGTTTATCTAAGAGTTAAGTAAACTGTTTGGATGTTTCAATTAAAGTCGTTAAGCCGAGTGTGGGCTTAATTGGTGTTTAATTAGGCCTAATTCATCATAAAAATGGATTTTTGCATAGTACAAAGATGATGAAGGATCAATAGTGTGATTTTACCATTTTAAAAAGATAAGAAGCCTTTTTATTTCCCATCATATTTTTCTCCTTATTTCCTATTCCCTCATCTCCTTCTCATCTTTTCTCTTCATATGTCATAGCTAAAGCTAAAGAGAAAGTGGGGGTTGAGTAACCAAGTATTTAAGGAGAGTGATAGCTAGTTAAAGAAGCTTCATTTCAGGATTTTATTAGCAATATAGTTTATTTCTAATCCTTTACGGTGTTAAGGTTTTTATAATCATGATGATTTATTGAGATTTGGGTATTTAAGAATTTTAGGGTTTATGCTTGATTTATTCCTTAGATGACATTATTATTGTAAAGATTGTGTTTTTATAATGTTAGATGACCCTATAAGACTCTATTAAGCTTTAGGTGTTGATTTAGAGTTAAATTATAGTGTTTGAGAGAGTTTTGGGTGATTCCCGAGCATATTTCTAGGTTTTCTAGGTTGTACTATCGATAATGTGAGTATCAATACTGTGAGTACTAATATTATGATTGCAATACTAATACTCTTCAACACCAAGAGATTTAAAACATCGCTTATTATATCTGAATATCTATATATTGCTATAAAATGTACAATTAAGCTTGAAACGGTCGTAATTTATGAAATGATTTAAATACCCCTATGTGGCATAAATTACCAAAATACCATCAATGATAAATAACTTCAAAAGTACCCCTGAAAGTGCACATAGTCAGCGATCGTAAATGACAAATCATTGTGAAAGATATGTTTGCAAGTGAGGTGGTGTATTATATGAAAAATGTGATAGAGAACCCGCGTATCATGTTAATATCGATAAGGCGTTGATGCATATCCCTCTAATTCAAGGGTGAATTAAAGGAAAGTGTAATGAGAGCGACTATAGTATGGCTACCAAAGAATGAACCCGAGTCAGGTATCAAACTATCAAATAATTCAATAAGTGAATAGTAGAAACAATAATCATCCTAAGATCATGAAACACGTAGATATCTCCTTAGAGACAAAAAATGACTAAAATGCCTTTCAACGTTAAATGACCAAAATAGAGCGGCTCCATAGACTAACAGATATAATAGACTAATAGACCCTTGTATAACATTCTAGATGAAAGAATGAGTGAGATAACAACTAGTGAGGGATGACCTTACTTTATTATACCGAGTTATATTGGTGTGTGACGAGGCTACCTCAGTTACCTTAGTGGGGTATTGTTAGTGGTGTGTAACTAGGCTACCTCAGTTGCCCTCGTAGGGCATTGTCACTGTTTTGTGGCCTTGGTCCCTCGTATATGTATTTGTAGTTATATTAACACAGTATAATAGATACTCTTGAGCTTGGCTTGACGGCTGTGTGAGACCGAGACAATGCTTCAGTTGAGTAGGAATTATACTGATGTTTTATGATTATTGGGTTCCCTTCCATGATCTACTTGATTGTCGTGTGAGACCAAAGATCATTTCAGCAGTTTAGTGGGCGTTTTACCAAAGCTATGTGGTTACCAGGTTTCCTCATCTAACTAGTATCTGATGGCTATGTGAGATAAATATTATTAGAATGTCATGTGTTACATTATGGGAATGCACAACAGTCATGGTTATTGTGGTTAGATACCCAATATAGGTGTAATCATGGCGAGACCCTTAGTAGAGGACTAAGGGAAACATGAGACTCTTACTTTAGTGACATAATAGTTGAACGTTAAATAGATAATACTTGATTATGATCATACATTTACTTACTACTTAGTATCATTTTTTAGCATGCTTGTGTTTATGTGACTCATAATGCTGCTCTAGATTAGCATTATATTATTGGGTCTTGTAACTCAGCGTGTGAATGCTTTCTGTTTACAAGTTATTAGCTTGAGTCATTCGTAGAGAACTGTCGTAGCATGAATTTCAACGTCTCATCCAGAGTATTGTACTGTAGCTTTAGTGGGCATGTGTATTCATATGACCTTTATTATTGTATTCAGATTTATCAAAGTATTTTTATAATTGTCATGTATGTCTACTTTGATATTATATAATATGTTTTGAAATGGAATGAATAGGTTTTGAAAATCATGGGTTATCTCAGCAACCCAACGTAGTACTGTAAGCCCAATCGAGTTTTGGATGTTACAACGGTGTTGTCTTATTTTTCTCATTTTCTACCACCATTTCTTCGACAGACGATGTTACGACTACCGTTTCTAGATTTTGAGTCTCTTTGATTATGGATAAGATATAAAATGATTCAAAAGCAAAGGTAAAAATAGAGAGAATTTGAAAGTTTTTATTTGATTTGAAAACCAAAGGGAATGAAAAGGGAATACGAGAATTAAAATAGGGAGAGTGATAAGAAGAAATGGAGGCAATATTAGTTGAAGATAAAGAGAACTATTATGTCATTGTTATTAGGAGTGTTAAAAATCGATTACCTGTTTTTAGGGTAGTATTTTTGTCGGCCTGTGACCCAGTTCGTTAAGTAAAATTCGGGTACCTGCATTTTTTGGTCTCGGGTATTCAATTCATCTATTTTTTTAATTTTTTTTTTAAAATAACATAGAAAATACAAATTTTTTTAAGAGTTCATTATACAATCCATAACAATAATTAGTGATTTAAAGTTAGTTTTAAGGATATATATATTAAATTTTATTTCTAAAATAAAAAATTAAAGTTATTAGTATCGATCATGATTTTTCTCGAATCTCATATTGACAAATTAATAAAAAAATGTAAAAATTAAAAGTATATAATACAAATCTAAGAAAAATGATTTAAATTTAATTTTAAGTAAAAAATATTAACATAAAATAAAAATATAATTTAAACTATATATATATTATCGGGTCGGGTATCCGGTTATAAACAAAATTTAGCCCAGACCCGACTCAACTATCCGGGAAAAATCATGGGTCGGGTAATTTTTTTAGAAAATTACCCAGTTTTTTAGGTTCGAGTTGGCGGGTTGACAGACTAAGTCAACCAGGTTGAATATTTTTGAGCACCCCTAATTGTTATTATTTCACTTTGTAATGAGATACCACCCTTTATTCTTCACCTATAAACTTTAATATTTTTAGCAATTTATTAATAATTTAATTTAATAATTATTTTAAATTTAAATAAGGATCAAATTGATAAGAGATTTAAATACCAAAGGTTTATTAAATTAAAGTCAATTTGATATAATGTGTTAGTTTTGAGAATTAAAACTATTATTATATCATGTTACATCTTTATTTTCATTGAGTAAACAAGCTAAACCTAATGATTGGTGACTAAAATAAAAAATGTAACATTATGTATGATTTTAAAAAAGAAATAATTAGATGACTAAAATAGAACAAACGGATAGGTGAATGACCAAATAGATAAATTACCTTTTAACTGTTTTAAGAATTCAACAGCTTTTGGTACCCGTGAATCAAATTTCTATTAAATTTTATTAAAAATTTGATTAAAATTTTAATAACCCAAACAATTGGTAAATAAATTTTATATACACTCACCCACCTTGGAAGATTTTGTAATATTGTTGATATTCACAAACAATTAACTAAAGGGATTAAATCCAAATATTTAATTTCAATAGTTTCACAGCAAAATAATGAAAAGGTTTTGCACGAAAATGTGAAAATGAAAAGGGTAAAAGTACACAAATGGTTCTCCTATTATAGGATACTACTTTATCGAGTCATCTGACTATTAAAAGTTATAAAATGATTATATAATTATTGAATGTTGCTTTGTTGAGTCCTTCAACTATTAAAAGTTACAATATGGTCACCTGACTATTCATATATTTCAAGCTCGTCATTTTTGTTAAAATATTGATGGTTGTCAAAACAAAACGTTAACATGTTGACCAATATATAATAGTCGTTTGAGATTTTGGATCAGATTTTATTATATCCCAGTTAATATGTTAATGTCCAGCTCAGATTGCCATCAATTTTTTAACGCAAAAGGACATGTTTGGAACATATCAATAGTTTGATGGCCGACCATTATATGACTTTTAATAGTCGGGAAATTTAACAAAGTAACATTCTTTAGTCAAAAGATCATTTTATAACTTTTAATAATCGATGATTCAATAAAGTATTACATTATAATTGGGGACCATTTGTATAGTTTACCCAATTTTAAAATGGGAGTGTGGTAAAAATTTGAGAGCGTATAAAAAGAGCAGTAAGAAAGCATCATATAGTTTTGTTGGGAGTAGGGCTTTAGTCTCTCTTTGATCGACACTCTGCTCCACATAAAAGAGAGGGCAGCAGACTTTGCATCTCTGCTCCTTTTTACTCATTTGCACCTTACCTTTCCTTTCTCCACCTCCACCTCCACCTCCCACTCCCACTCTCTCTCCCTCCCTTCCCTTTCATCAAAGTAAGTCTGCGGTTTTCTTCTTTAATC